CCAACATTCTCTCTCTCACCCACTCTGTTTCCCCCCTCTCTTTCGTTCTCTGCCCTTCTTCCTTCTCAACTATCCTTCGTCCCATTCACTCTCTTTCAATCTCTGTCTTTCTACCCATCTACCTACCTACCTTCACCTTCCCCCCTTTTTTTCTCTTTCCCCTCCCAACTTTCTCTCTCTCACCCCCTCTGTTTCCCCCCTCTTTCGTTTTCTGCCCTTCTTCCTTCTCAACTATCCTTCGTCCCATTCACTCTCTTTCAATCTCTGTCTTTCTACCCATCTACCTACCTACCTTCCTTCCTTCCTTCCTTCCGTCCTACCTTCCTTTCATTCTTCCTCCCTTCCTTCCTAGCTTTCTACCTTCCTTTCTTTCCAAATTTCTACCATTAACCTCACTCTGTCTCCACCCCTTTTCTCTTTCCCCCCTCTCTAACTCTGTCTCTCTCTCTCTCGACCTCCTCTTCTCCATTCCTCCCTTCCTATCTAGGGCCCGTCGTCTACCGCCACGACGGGCTTTCTTTACTAGTAAGAACATAAGAGAAGCCAATGTGGGATCAAGCCAATGGCCCATCCAGTCCAACACTCTGTCACACAGTGGCCAAAAATACCAGGTGCCATCAGGAGGTCCACCAGCGGGGCCAGGACACTAGAAGCCCTCCCACTGTTGCCCCCCCCCAAGCACCAAGAATACCGTGCATCACTTGCCCCAGCCTGAGAGTTCCTATCTATACATTGTGGCTAAGAGCCACCGATGGACCTCTGCTCCATATGCTCATCCAATTCCCTCTTGAAGCCGTCCATGCTTGTAGCCGCCGCCACCTCCTGTTGCAGTGAATTCCATGTCTTAATCACTCTTTGGGTGAAGAAGTACTTCCTTTTATCCATTCTAACCCGACTGCTCAGCAATTTCATTGAGTGCTTACTTGTGACTCTAGAATTTGAAATGGAAGGATCACTGAGCATTCAAGTGGCAAAATAACAATCCAGATGTTGTGGGCCCCTAAGGTTAATTGAGACTGTTGCATTAGCCAGGGGATGCATGAGGCTAGAGCTAGAAATCCAGATTACGTTGCAGCCCTGTGGTATCCCAATTAAAATGAGTGGAGGCTGAGCAGCAGATGTGGTACTCGGTGGGTTAGGTACAGGGGCTGTGTATGCTTGCATTTTCAAAACCCAAAACTGAAATCTATGTACGGTCTTTTATTCAGACCAAACAAATTAGTATCACATAGTATACAGCAGGGCTTTTTTTTTTGTAGAAAAAGCCCAGCAGGAACTCATTAGCATAATAGGCCATACCCAACAGCAGGAACTCATTAGCATATTAGGCCACACCCTGACAGCACAGCTCATTCACATATTAGGCCACACCCCCATGGTAAACTTGTTTCCCAGTCATGTCTAATGTCTGCACAGCTTGAAAAGGCTTACATGGAGAACCATCATCTGATGGAAGCTTCAAGCGGACTAGGTCTTATATATTTTTCCATCATCTCGTTGGAAACTAGGGATGTACAAGAAAAAAAATTGGTATTTTTCGCATTCAGGGGTTTTGGACCCTTAAAATGTTGGTATTGCCTTGAAAACCCAAATTCCAATATTGGCATTGTATTGGAATTTGGGTAAAATTTGGGTAAAATCTGCCTCAAACCCCCTCCCCCCCAGCCCATTGAATATACCCTAGGACATTTGCATGAACTATAATGTCCCCATAGGGTATGACAGAGCCGAAAAATTCGGGATTCCCAAATTAATTCAAGCTTTTCTTATTGGTAAGCCAAATCAAATCAGAGAATCTGATTCGGCTTAACTAATGCCTGAATCGCGCTGAAAAGACATGATTCGGTTATTAATTTAGCTCAAAAACATTGAATGCACATCCCTATTGGAAACACAGTCATGTTGATCTACCCTACATAGAAGCGCCTTTGATCTGAATTCTTTGCCATAAGGTAACGTTTACGTTCCAGTCCAGCAATGTACGGAGTACCGATGAGCAAGTCTCACCTGCCCATTCTCCAATTCTTTTACAGGACACTGTCCTAGCAACACTGATGGTCTATGATGCAGACACCACCCCTATTTTTCCACTTGAGAGTAGCCGAAAGAAATACACGGGCTCGATCAGTACGTCAGATCCATGGATAAAAGAAATGTTTCGAGTGGAGCACATGTTCAATGAGATCTATTTCAGCCCGAACGGCAGCCAAGTGAGAGGAACTCAACACGAATACAGTAAGTTTTGTGGGCGGCCCTGTTTACAAGCAGAATAGTTGTGTGCTTAAAAGCAATCACCGCTGCCTTTCGTTGCCTTGTTAATCTTCTGAATCATTAGCGGGAGGAGTGAGATAATTAATTACGGCCTCAGACGTGATAAACGAGGGAAGGGTTGTCTACTGAAACAATGATCAAGGATCTCAGGCCCAGCACTGTAGAAATAATGAGCTGCCAATGGTTAAAGGTGGTACTAACCTCCTCCGCCCCAGCCAAAAATAGGCATTATAGAGAAATCAAAGGTGTCTTATCCAACTGGTGGTGGCCCTGGATGAACATGGACAACCAAGACGATTAGAGGGGTTGCAGCACCTTCCCTGTGAGGAAAGGCTGAAGTGTCTGGGACCTTTCAGTTTAGAAAAGAGACAACTAAAGGAGGACATGATCAATGTTCCCTCTAAGCTGTGGAGTCTTGTGAGCAAAAATTCTACTTGGTGAGCGACTGGCATTAAAGTTGTGAGCGAGTGATTTGGCTGCTGCATAACCTAGTTTGCTCTGGAGCCATCCGTCCTGAGCTGAGACAAAACATATGTGAGCCGGAGGCTAAAAAAATGTGAGCTAGCTCACACTAACTCAGCTTAGAGGGAACACTGGACATGATAGAGGTTTATAAAATTATGCATGGGGGAGAGAGAGAGAGAGTTGACAAAGAGAAATTTGTTTCCTCCCTCTCCCAAAATACTAGAACTCAAGGGCAATCAGTGAAGCTAGTCGACAGTAGATTCAGGATGGACAATGCTTCTTTACCCAGAGAGTGATTAAAGTGTGTAAGTCGCTGCTAGAGGATGTCGTGATGGCCACGGGAACAGACAGCTTTAAAAGGGGATTAGACAGATTAGGGGAGGATAGGTCCATGAGTGGCTACTATCCATGGTGACTGAACATCCGCATTCAGAAAATAATAATAATAATAATAATAATAATAATAATAATAATAATAATAATAATAATAATAATACTTTCGATTTATTAATCGCTTTCCCCACAAGTGGGCTCAAAGTGATTTACAGTTACTCTTTAGACAGGGGACTAACAATGTTTTTCATAGGGGATAGGGAAGACAACATATAATTCATTTTAAGTTGCACACGCCGTACTGCCCGGTGGAAACGTTTTCTGGCTTGACTCAGTCATGTTCCGAACAGCTGCATCACCACACTGCCACCGCCTGGCCGGAGCATCCCACTGCAGGGATTTTTCATAGCTGAGTAGATTCCTCCACCTTCCGGGTCCAGACCAGGATGTCTCCAACCGAGAGCTAACACCTTCCCAGAAGGGAGTCGGTGTGCCCACCCTCTCTAAGGAGTGGTTCCCATTTTATCTACTCGCCGAGGCTTTCAAATCGCTGGGTGGACGATGAGCTGGGGACAATAAACCTCTGAACATCAGGAGACAACATCAGGGCAAGGCCTTGGCTTTTATGTTCTGTTGTTGGCTCTCTAGGCAAACAGGCTGGCCACTGTGAGAGACAGGATGCTGGACTACATGGACCACTAGTCCGATCCAGTAGGGCTCTTATCAGGGGAAGGTCTTGGCCTCTGTGTCTTGTTGTTGGCCCTCCAGAGGAACTGGTTGGCCACCATGTGAAACAGGATGGTGGACTTAGCTGGTCTCATCAAGCAGGGCTCTTTTTATGCTTTTATGCATGCACCAGCATACCCATTAAGTTCAACGGGACCCATAGACATTTTATGGTATGGATTCTTATTCATATCGAGATGCCCATCGTCAGAGTCGCATGTGGATCTCCGTCACTGGACTGAGTCAAGAGTGTTCATCCACAGTTCTGTAGTGGCACATGAACCCTTAAATAGATCTCAAAATAAATACTGACTGTCACGCAGTGGCTCAGTAGATGCAGCTGAGCCTGTTGGCTTGCAATGGAAGGCAAGAAGGAATGCACAAACGCAAGCAAATAGTTAGAAAACCATATCTTCCACATCCTGCAGTGGGATGTCATCATGCTCACACTTCACTGAATCATGGGCCTGTAGTTTCAGTCAAAAACCCACACTGGGGCATTAGTTACAGTAACTTTCACTTGATTGGTATCAAAGACAGGCTATAGATATGACCAGTGTTCCCTCTAAGCTGAGTGAGTGTGAGCTAGCTCACAGTTTTTTAGCCTACGGCTCGCACATTTTTGTCTCAGCTCAGGAAGGGATGGCTCCAGAGCAAACTAAGTTATGCAGTAACCAAATCACTTGCTCACAACTCTAATGTCAGTAGCTCACAAAGTATAATTTTTGCTCACAAGACTCTACAGCTTAGAGGGAACGTTGGATATGACGGTAATAAACAACTTAGTAACATGGAGCCCATTTTGGAATACATTGTGCCTCTAGTGTATATTTCTGACCCTCTATACATTTAATTCAGACCAATGCTCTCTCTAAGCTGCAGAGTCCTGTGAACAAAAATTCTACTTTGTGAGCTACGGGCATTGAAGTTGTGAGCGAGCGATTTGGCTACTGCATAAACTAGTTCGCTCTGGAGCCATCCTTCCCGAACTAAGACAAAAATGTGTGAGCCTGAGGCTAAAAAAACGTGAGCTGGCTCACACTAACTCAGCTTAGACGGAGCACTGATCCAGACCCTGATCCCAAAATACGGATCAAAAAAGCCAGACAACAGGGCCACGTACACCTGTGAACACACATGCAGGTGCTTTATTCTGAATCAGAACCTTAGTCCATCAAGATCAGTATTTTCTGCTCAGACTGGCAGGAGCCCTCCGGGGTCTCAGGTAGAGGTTTTTCATATCACCTGAGCCTTTTAAACCGGAGACTGAACTTGGGGCTTTTGCCTGCAAAGCAGAGGTTCTTCCACTGACCCACAGCCCCCTCCCCACATACAGAAAGGAAAGTTTCTAGAAAGCTGCATGCTCTGTTGAAAATTCATATTTAAAAAAAGAGATGATGGAATAAAATTAAAAGTTCTAAAACGGTGGGATTTTGGGTGAGTACCTCGCGAGTTCTTGGTCTCTACTTTGGATTGCTTAGGCAACCACAGATAACAGTCCGTGGATGCCTAGAATAATTGAAAATGGCTGATGCAGATTGATTTTGACACCCGAGGTGAAAACCAGGCAAGCAGGAAAGACAGGAAGTAAGATTGGGGGTGGGGGGGCACAGTAAAGTCAGAAGGCAGGGGTGAAAGTAAAACAAAGCAGAAACAGTTGAGATGGGGAGTGGAGGGAGGGGAAGGAAGCAAGGAAAGTGGAGATGTGAGGACTGCAAGGGAGAGGGAAAGCAGAGGTAACGTGGGGGAAGGAGGACCAGTTGAGCAGAGGTGAGATTCCCTCTCTCTGGTGAGAGCCAGTTTGGTGTCGTGGTTAAGTGCGCGGACTCTAATCTGGGAGAACCGGGTTTGATTCCCCACTCCTCCACTTGCAGCTGTTTGATGACCTTGGGCAAGCCGTAGTTCTCGAAAAAGAGCCGTTTCTGTCAGAGCTCTCCCAGTCCCACCTACCTCACTGGGTGTCTGTTGTGGGGAGGGGAAGGGAAAGGAGTTTGTAACCAACTCTGAGACTCCCTTGGGTAGTGAAAAAAAGGGTAAAGGTAAAGGTTCCCTTGCTCGAAAGCCAGTCGGATCCGACTCTAGGGTTGCGGTGCTCATCTCCGTTCCAAAGCTGAAGAGCCAGTGCTGTCCGAAGACGTTTCCGTGGTCATGTGGCCGGCATGACTAAACACCGAGGCGCACGAAACACTGTTACCTTCCCACCGAAGTGGTACTTATTTATCTACTTGCAATTTCTTGCTTTCGAACTGCTAGGTTGGCAGGAGCTGGAACGAGAGACGGGAGCTCACTCCGTCATGTGGCACACTCGGGTCTCGAACTGCTGAACTACCGACCTTCCACAGCCTGCAGTTCAGCGTCTTAACCACTTGAGCCACCGCTCAATCTCCTCTTCTTCTCTTCTTATGAATCCCCTGCTTCTCTCTTTCCATTCTTCTCTTCGTTTTTCAGTCCTAGCATCACTAGGATATATTCCCAAGACAGGACTAGATCACTACCAGCCGTCAAAGAGGTTTTGTCTCTCCTTGACACAAAGACTCAGCTGTGAATCCCAGTAACCACGTACCCAAGTTTCCTTGTTAGTGGCTTCCTCTGCTAATGTGCATTTTCCATTCTTTCTCTGTACTGCTTTCTCCGTCCATCAGGGGTCTCTCTCTGTCGCTTCTTTGCTTTCCCCAAACAGGCTGGTTCCCCGCTGTGCCTACTACAAATGAATTCAGAGTTTCTCTTTTTCCCCCCAGGGCTGGTGTTAAATAAACCCATTTCAATTACTGAAAACCGCAGCTTCCAGCTGGACGTCGTCGTCAACGACACAGAATACCAGGGGCTGGACAAGTCCCTGATACTCCACTTCAACGTCTCCATTCTTCCCGTCAGTATCCAGTTTCCAAATACCACGTACCAGTTCACAGTGAACAGAAATGCCGCCAACTTTTCGCAAGTAAGGATGACTTACTCGTTCGTTCTGCTATTGCAAGGGAAGCTTCTAGAGTCGAGTCGTCAGGCCAGAAGCATCTGTCTGTAAATGAATATCCTCTAAAACTTGGTACCTTCCTTTGTTGTCTTTTCAACTTCCAACAAATGGATTGATTGTGTCTCCTGGCTTGTGGGGAAGGGTGGAGAGGGCATCTCCTGATGACCTTGACCTGTCCCGGAGTGGACGACGTCAAGATAGGAACATCTTCTTCATCGTTGTGTCTTTTGTGCAGTCCCACATGGGAACTGCGCATGTGCAGACCAGCCGTGACTATTCCAAAAGCTCCTGACAGTGCAAGGTGTTCTCCCACCCTTCGATGCTTTTTCCCATCCAAACTGTCTCCCTAAGTTCTTTCTTAGCCAGTTTGGTGTAGTGGTTAAGTGTGTGGACTCTAATCTGGGAGAACCGGGTTTGATTCCCCACTCCTCCACTTGGCACCTGCTGATGTGACCTTGGGTCAGTCACAAGCTCTGGCACAGCTGTCCTTTGAAAAGAGCAGTTTGTGTCAGAGCTCTCTCAGCCCCACCCACCTCACAGGGTGTCTGTTGTGGGGAGGGGAGGGGAAAGGCATTTGTAAGCCGCTCTGAGACTCCAAGTGAAGGGCGGGGTATAAATCCAATCTCCTCCTCCTCCTCCTCTTCTTCTTTTTCTTCTTCACCTCCACTGAAGAAGGTACTTTGGGTTCTAAAGATAGGAGTTTTCAGGAAGTGTGGTGGATCTGTTGCACTTCATAAGTTCTTCTTTGGCATCTCTCCGGGGTTATTCTGTTTAGCCCCATGGCTTCAGAGGCCCTGTTTAAGAAGCCATTGTGGAACCAAGATGGCTCAGTCAGACTTGCACGACTCTACTCTGGAACCATGTGCAGGGAATGACCCTGGTTCCGAATTAGAGGGAGCAAACCACACGTGCAACAGGGGGGGGGAATGAAAAAAAAGTAACTTACAAGCAAGGAAAATGAGAATGCGGAAAAACCCGATGTCTACTTTTATGATAGGAGAAAAAGGTTGATCTGCTCCATACATTTGTGCTTCAGGTTCATTGTTTTTTGGGGGGATTTCAGACTTGCACCAGTATCTGGTGTGTGGGCATCAGTTAGTTTATTTGTTGTCCCCTGGAAATTTTCTGACAGAAGGAAAGAAATTACCAAGGGATGTGGGGTCTTGCATTTCTTCTTCCACAAAAGGCCGCAGCCAACAGCAATGATCAGCTGTCTTCTGTCAGTTTCAAGAATAAATGTTCCCTTTCTAATACTAGGTGCAAAGAGCAGGGAAAGGGTAGCAATTAGGCGCTCCGTTTACCCATCAACAAGCTAGATGTTAATTCATTTGAAGCCATTTGTAATAGAATTCATAGCAAACTCCATGGCAAGAATAGTCCCCTTGAGGTGCCACTGGAGCAAATGGGCAGAGGATTTGTAGTAACGAGGCCCTGTCCACACGCGGAATTTGCCGCGGGAGAGGCACGGATGTCGGGCGGAGTATACGGGTGCAATCACAAGGACACATCTGGCAAGTGTGGCACACCCATCGCCGACCTGTCGCATCCGCCCGAAGATTCGGAGTTAAAAAATACCCAGGAAAGCCTACTAGCAAACGGTTTGCTACGGGCCGTCGACGGAATACCTACGTGTGATCACTCAAGTGCGCTCCTCTTGCTGTGTTGATGCGTGCCAAAAACACGACCCGTGCAAACAAAAAAAAAACCCCTTTCCTGCCCCCCCCCCTGCCCCCCCCCCCCCGCGCGTTATCTGGCCCATGTGACCAGGGCCTGAATTAACTTTAAGGAAACCTGTTGTATCTGGCTCTTCGGTTACAGTCAGCTGTATGTCTGTGACACCTCCCAGAGTTGAAGATCAAGGGAAGGCTCTTCTGCATGCATTTGCATTGCTGGTCAAACAAATTTGGTGGACTTAAATTTTAGGGGGGCGGGGTTGGCTTTACTCAGATTAGGCAATCATTCCAGTTCTAGTGAGAATCTTCCACTACTCAGTGTGGAGACAGGGGAAATGAATCAACTGGTTGAACTGGGGCCATAATATTGCAAAAGAGTACATCCACCTAAGCTCCCTCTAATCTCCACAGTGTTGTGAGCAAAAATTCTACCTCTTGAGCGAAAAAAAAGCTAGTAGCATTAAAGTTGTGAGCGAGTCTGCATTAGACAATCGTGTAAACTAGTTTTTCAGAAGATTATTTCCATAGCTTTGTAAAAATCTCAGAATGACTTCCTTTAGACTATATTTAAGCTATGTTTTAAGAATCATTTAAACATTATAAGAGAAAACAGAATCAAGTCAAATTTCATTACTT